TCTCTCTCTCTCTCTCTCTCTCTCTCTCTCTCTTTATCATGATGTTACTGTGATGATCTTAAAATGATTAAAGGAGATTGTTATTTTATTATTTTTGTTTTTTTATTATTTTCATTGTTGATGAGGAAACTAATTGTTTTTGTTTGTATTGGGAGATTGTTAAGGTTACGGGTCAATTGTTAAGGTTACGGGTTTAATTATTAAGGTTACGGGTTTAATTGTTAAGGTTACTGGTCAATTATTAAGGTTACGGGTTTAATTGTTAAGATTACGGATTTAATTGTTAAGGTTACGGGTCAATTGTTAAGGTTACGGGTTTAATTATAGGGTTACAGGTTTAATTGTTAAGGTTACGGGATAATTGTTAAGGTTACGGGTTTAATTGTTAAGATTACGGGTTTAATTGTTAAGGTTACGGATCAATTGTTAAGGTTACGAGTCAATTGTTAAGGTTACAGGTTTAATTGTTAAGGTTACGGGTCAACTGTTAAGGTCACAGGTTTAATTGTTAAGGTTCGAGAGAGAGAGAGAAGGGATCCATAACCCTAACAATTGACCCGTAACCTTAACAATTAAACCCGTAACCTTAACAATTGAACCGTAACCTTAACAATTGACCCGTAACCTTAACAATTAAACTCGTAACCTTAACAATTGACCCGTAACCTTAACAATTGACCCGTAACCTTAACAATTAAACCCGTAAACTTAACAATTGACTCGTAACCTTAACAATTAAACACGTAACCTTAACAATTAACCCGTAACCTTAACAATTGACTCGTAACCGTAACAATTAAACTCATAACCTTAACAATTAACCCCGTAACCTTAACAATTGACCCGTAACCTTAATAATTAAACTCGTAACCTTAACAATTAAACCCGTAACCTTAACAATTGACCCGTAACCTTAACAATTGACCCGTAACCTTAACAATTAAACCCGTAACATTAACAATCTCCCAATACAAACAAAAACAATTAATTTCCTCATCAACAGAGAAAATAATAAAAAACAAAAATAATAAAATAACAATCCCCTTCAATCATTTCAAGATCATCATGATAAAGAGAGAGAGAGAGAGAGAGAGAGAGAGAGAGAGAGAGAGGATCTATAACCTTAACAATTGACCCGTCACCTTAACAATTAAATCGTAACCTTAACAATTAACCTTATAACCTTAACAATTAAATCCGTAACCTTAACAATTGACCCTAACCTTAACAATTGACCCGTAACCTTAACAATTAAACCTGTAACCTTAACAATTAAACCTGTAACCTTAACAATTGACCCGTAACCTTAACAATTAAACCCTTAAACCTGTAACCTTAACAATTAAACCTGTAACCTTAACAATTGACCCGTAACCTTAACAATTAAACCCGTAACCTTAATAATTAAACCCGTAGCCTTAACAATTGACCCGTAGCCTTAACAATTAAACCCGTAACCTTAATAATTAAACCCGTAACCTTAACAATCGACCCGTAACCTTACCAATTAAACTCGTAACCTTAACAATTAAACCCGTAATCTTAATAATTAACCCGTAACCTTAACAATTGACCCGTAACCTTAACAATTAAACCCGTAACCTTAACAATTAAACCTATAACCTTAACAATCTCCTAATACAAACAAAAACAATTAATTTCCTCACCAAAGCAGAAAATAATAAAAAATAATAAAAAATAAAATAACAATCCCCTTCAATCATTTCAAGATCATCACAGTAACATCATGAGAGAGAGAGAGAGAGAGAGAGAGAGAGAGAGAGAAGGGATCCATAACCTTAACAATTGACCCGTAACCTTAACAATTAAATCGTAACCTTAACAATTAACCCCTAGGATTAACAATCTCCCAGTACAAACAGTTAGTTCCCCCTCATCAACAACGAAAATAATAAAATAATCCTCGTCGGTCATTTTAACTATCATCTTAGTACATCATGAGAGAGAGAGAGAGAGAAGGGTATTATGGTTTTCACATATTTTAATCTCTTGGGTTTTGTGTTTTGGGGGCTCAGAGAACAAACTCTTTATTTTTTGGGGCAAAACACCCGTTGACAAAGTCTTGGAGGGGTGGGAAGCACGTTTTCTTAGCTCTTGGGGGCTGGAAGCATTTTTTCCAAATTTTTAATATAATGATACAGAGATATAGGCTGCTGCTGAGAACTAAACAATCAAGCCCTAATAGTCATGGTTCATTCTTTGCTCTTATCAAACACGAATGATTAATTGTCATGACAATAAAGAAACTTAGAGTGAAAATGATGGATGCACATTCATTAATCACTCAACACCAGGGTGTTTCCTTTCAGTGCGTGTTTGTTTCACCAAAATTTTTGGCATTTGGTATGGATTACAAATTTTGGGATCAAAAAGTGAGTTTTTTTTTGTATTTTAGGATTCCATATATCGTGTTTGTTTTAAGACAATTTTTAGAATATTAAAATCCAAAATTGTAAAAAGCACCCAATTTTTAGAATTTGTCAAATCCTCTCAATTGAAAAGGTTTTTGACAAATCTCATAAATATGTGTGTGCTTACTTCTCAATTAGAGAGGATTTGACAAATCCTAATTTTGTCTTTTTGTTGGAGGGTAACCTCACCAAGATAGCATATTCATCATATTATAAAATTTTGGCATTTAGTGATATTACAATTTGAGCTTGGGACAAACAAAATATTACAAATTATAATATTCCAAATCCCAAAATATTAATAAAACAAATAATATTTTAGAAATCCCAACCCATAACAAAACACCTATGGATTTTAAATCCCATGGTAAGTTCATATCCTAAAATTATAGAATTTGAAACAAACACCCCCTCACCCACTATTAATGTCCTAATTTCTCACGGCGACATCAAATTATGTAGAGAGCTTGATATCTTGAGAGAGAAAAACAAAAGGTAAAGGCCCCACGAGGCCCTACCAACCGTAGAACCCATGTGGGTCAAACCCAACCCAACACATGGGTTTAGGACCGTTTGAGAACAGCAGGAACAGCAGCACAAAATAAAGCGAAAGGGTAGGGAAAAAGATAACCCTTTTCCCAATACAAGCCAAATTAAATAATGCTAGACAAATAGTATTAGTCGGCAAAAAATAATGAATAGATAAATAGGTACATGTTACCCGACTTTTGCATCGCACCACGCCTCAACCCTCTATTTTTCCTCTTGCTCTGGAGTCCTCTTTCTTCCTCGCTCTCTGTAGAGATCTCTCTCATATTAAAGGATAAAATTACTTTCTTCAAGTCCAAGCTAGACTTTACTAATGGCTCCTATGGTGGTTCTAGTGTTCATTTTGGCCATGGTTGGGGTTTCAGGTGAGCTTTAGTTCTTTCCCTCATGTTCTGACTAGCTATTAGCAGTTTTTTTTTTCTTGGTTTGTTATTTTTAAAAGATTCCTGTTCTTGGCTTTGAAGGTAGCATAATCTTCACTCACCTAAAAAATCATGTGTTAAAGACCTCTGTACCCTGCCCCTTAACATATTTTTTCCGTTTATGAAGATAAATCAATCCATATCCTCTAAAATCCCTTTGATTTCATTTTGTTTTCTTCCTTAATTTTTCTGAAATTTTTGGAAGAAGGTCATCCTTTACTAGGCTTTAGAAAAATGATGAACAGACCCATGTTGCTTTGACTTCTCTGAATCATTTCAAGACATATTTGATGAATATTCCTTATTAATTTTCTTGTTGCTGATATTTTTTATTTGTCCCTTAAAGCTAGAATAGTAACTCGTATGCTTTCAAGAGTTACCCTCCATATTGTTTCTTTAACATAATAATTTTAGACATGTTTAGTGAAATTATACCTTTTTATTTGATCAATCTATTTTTTATTTTGGGGATCAAGATGGAGCTTGGTGTGTATGCAAGCAAGATTTGCCGAGCCCAACCCTTCAGAAGGCCATAGACTACGCCTGTGGGGCTGGAGCCAATTGCGGCCCAATACACCAAGGCCAGCCCTGCTACGAACCCAACACAGTTGCAGCGCACTGCTCCTTCGCTGCCAATAGCTACTACCAGAAGAATGGCCAGAACCAGCAGGCTTGCGATTTCTCTGGCACTGCTCAGCTCGTCACTTCTGATCCAAGTAAATATTCATTATTAACGCAATATATATGTTATTATATTTATTTGATTTTTTTACCTATATGGTTCCTGTTTTTCGCAGGTACGCCTGGCTGCAGTTATCCTGCCACTCCAAGGTACGAATTCACTTTGGCATGTTTGATTCATATTCTTACTTCTTAATTAAACTTAGTCATAGTAATGGTTAAGCTGCGAGAAATGTCTAATTTATTATCAACTCAATCAAGTTATTGGAGACAATTTATGATTCTTTTTCTTGTTTTGGTGGATTCAGTGCGGCGGGAGGCCCCGGTACTGGCACACCCAGCACCTCACCCACAACCCCAGGGGGGTCCACCACACCAGGGTCATCTACTGTAACCCCAGGCTCACCAACAAGTGGGACCGGCTTCACCCCTAACTCACCCACCACTGGTACAGGAATTGGCACTGGAGGCAGTACTGGCGTTCTTGGAGGCCTAGGCCCATCTGGAGTTGGGCTTGATGGGAGTGATGCCGGCCTTCTTCCAAATGCGAACATGGCCGTGTTGGCCTTCTCTGCGCTAGCAGCCTTTGCTTTGCTTTAGGGCGGGTTTCTTTCACTTTTTGATGGAAGGGTTTTTTTATTCCTTTAGTGGGGTAGTAGATGTAGGCTAGGCTGTCCTTTTCTACTTTTTTTCTTTTTCTTAGGTTTTTGTCCTTATTACTTTTTTGGTGTAAATCTTGGGAGGCGGTAATTTTATTATTATTATTAATATTATTGAGATATGTGGTAGCTGCTTTGGTGGTGATGTTTGTTGGTGGTGTACTGTATTTTTGGTGATGTGCATGTATGGGTTGTCGTGCAATCTCTGCAGTGTTGTCACTTTGTGATGATGAGCGATTAAAAAAGAAGCATAATCCAGAAGAATCCTAGGTGATATGTTTACCTCACGCTCAAGGAGTCAATTATGTGGATGAGTTTTCTTTACTATTCTTTATTTATTATTGGCTAAATGATACTTAAACGCCCTAATGTTTTATTATTTTTATACTTAAATATTTAAGTTGTAAAAAAGAGTATTTTAATAGTTTTGGTTGTAAAAAATTAGTACATTAGTATCGTTTGTGTAGTAAAGTGCTATTTTTAAATATAATTTAGAGTATTAAAGTGTTAAATTTTATGCTTTAAAATATGAAAAATTACTTGTTTTAAAATATGAAAAATTACTTGTAGCCCCTAAAATAACAATAAGTATTTTTTCTCAATTCTTTTTCAAAGCTCCAAAAGCTTTCAAAAGTAAAATCATAATTCCTTACACCCCCAAAATTTATCACTGGAGAATAGAGATTGTAGGCATTAATGATGATTAGAAATGAGTTTTTGAGGGAAAAATTACATTTTCCTCCAAATTAACCGTGAACACATTTTTGAAAACACCCATTTTAAAAAATTATATAGCAAAATCGACCATTTTCAGATGAAAATGGTCGGTTTTGCTGCTGGGAATATTTTTTGAAATGCACGGGCCTGTTAGTCCCGTATATTTTCTTTTCTTTTCATTTCACATGAACCGCCTCCTCACCTCCTCATTCACACATTTTTGAAAACACCCATTTTAAAAAATTATATAGCAAAATCGACCATTTTCAGATGAAAATGGTCGGTTTTGCTGCTGGGAATATTTTTTGAAATGCACGGGCCTGTTAGTCCCGTATATTTTCTTTTCTTTTCATTTCACATGAACCGCCTCCTCACCTCCTCATTCATCGCTC